CGGCTTCCATTTGGAGCTCTCAATCTTCCTTCAGACTGACATGCCTCAATGTACACACATTACTACAGATCAATAAACAGGCAGCACTTGCCCGAACATTGGAGACCCTCTCGATCGATATCTGCTGCTTATCAGAGACCCGCTTGCAAGACTCGGGCACTGTGCTCACTCTGCGATCCCCTTCAGGTGATGCAAGCAGTATTTTCTCATTGCGCCTATCTGGTGATGATGCAGCTTCGAGCACTGGCCAAGCTGGTGTTGGCATTGCGCTGAGTCTCCGGGCTGAAGCTGCTCTGATTGATTGGATTCCAATCAGTAGCCGGATGTGTGCGGTCCGATTGGCTGGCTCGTTCAAAGCTTCGAAGTCGCGCGGGACTAATAGGTGTCTATTCATCATCACTGCCTACGCGCCCAAAAACTATAGCGATGGTTCGGTAAAGAACGACTTTTACCGCCAACTGACCCAACTCCTTCGCCACAGAAGAAACACGGACACTGTAGTGCTGGCGGGGATCTGAACACACAAGTTGGGAAGTTGTTCGCTGATGAGATGCATCTGTACGGTCAGCACGATGTAGGCTCCTGTAATGATAACGGTGAGCGGTTAATTCATTTTTGTGGAGATGTCCGCTTATTTCTTGCGAGCACTAACTTCCGACACAGCACCCGCCGAAGGGTGACTTGGCGCCCACCAGCCTTGGACGCAGATCGATCACATTGCTATCACTTACTGCTGGAGAGGCTGCGTCCAATACTGTCGTTCGATTTGGAGCACATGTGTGGACACTGATCATGCACATGTATGTGCTGACATGCGGATGCGTTTTAGCGGACGCCCACGACGACGTTGTGAGCGCATTGACACCAGCCAACTGACAAAGCCAGCTGTTCTATTTGCGTGTCGAAGTACGCTGACATGCGAGTTGAGTAATCGCTCACTGAAGACAATTGATGGTCACTGGTCACACGTTCACCAGACCTTACTAGCAGCAGGCAAATCCTCATGTGGCATGTCTAATAGCCTACATGGTTTTTGGGTCTCTTCGCAGTCTCTAGAACTTACCGATGCTCGCCGACATATCTCGGCTGGAAGCGAACACAATGTAACTCGCAAAGAGCTCCGGGCAAGACTTCGTGCTAGCCTGAAGAGAGACCGCGAATCTTGGTGGTCTCACCGTGCGTCAGAGATGGAAATGGCAGCTGTCCTTGGCAACCATCGTAAGTTATTCCGTCTGATACGGGAAATGGGCAACAAGAGATCTGGTTTTAGTGAAGCTATACGTGACGAGTGTGGACAGCCTATCCACAATTTGTCAAAACGTTTGGAGCGTTGGACTGAGCATTTTGAAAAGCAATTTAATCGGTCGGAATTGTTCGATTCGCCGGTCACTGATCGCCCTGCTCCGTGGGCTGTCACTTTGGATCCACCCTCTCATTCAGAAGTCGAACGTGAGATCGGACTGTTGAAGTTGAACAAAGCTGCGGGACCAGATGTTCTACATCCGGCCCTCTTCAAATTCGGAGGCTCTGCTCTTGTTGATGCTTTACATGAATTACTAGTAAAACTGTGGGAGCAGGAGACTGTCCCAACCGACTGGAGCCGCTCCGTTATTGTTCCCATCTTCAAAGGAGGCTTACGTTCGGAATGCGGCAACCATAGAGGAATCAGTCTGATCTCCATCACCTCCAAATTACTCGCCTCCATAATTATTCACAGACTGACTGGCGCTCGTGAAGGCCAGATTTGTGAGGAGCAAGCCGGGTTTCGTCGGGGTCGTGGCTGCATCGACCACATCTCCACTTTGCGTCAGTTGTTGGAGCATCGTTACACATATTGGCGGCCCACCGTTGTCGTGTTCCTCGACATCAAAGGGGCCTTCGATTCGGTTGATCGTTGTACCCTTTGGAAATGTTTACTCAGGAAAGGTGTGCCCGAGAAATATGTAAATATTATCCGAGCATTATATGTGCGTAGCACGGGCAGAGTGAGAGCTTACGGCAAGCTGTCACCACCCTTCAATATCTCCAGCGGTGTGAGACAAGGATGTCCGCTGTCGCCTTTCTTCTTCAATTTCGCTACTGACGAAGTCATGGAAATCGCGTTCACAGGACATGACTTGGAAGGTGTGGAGCTACTCCCAGGAGAGCGACTTCTTGACTTTGAGTATGCTGACGATATTGACCTAATCTGTGATAGGTCCCAGACATGCCAAGCCGTGCTGGACACATTAGCACTGGCTGTCAGCCGCTTCGGGCTTTGCTTCGCACCATCGAAATGCAAAGCGTCCCTCCAAGATTGGCAGGGATCGCCTCCTTTGCTGTCCCTTGGTGGGGATCAGCTAGAAGTCGTTCAGAAATTCAACTACCTGGGAAGTTGTATCAGCGCCCTTGGGATCGAAGACGAGATCACGAACCGTATAGCGAATGCTCGAAGTGCTTTTGCTAACCTTCGCCACCTATGGCGGCGGCGCGACATCACTCTCACCCTGAAGGGTAGAGTGTACAATGCAGCGGTACGTTCGACCTTACTGTGCGGTTGCGAAACCTGGCCCCTAAGATCGGTGGATATGAAGAGGCTAGTTACGTTCGACCATCGGTGCCTTCGCAGTTTGGCTCACATCTGGTGGGAACACCGCGTGAGTGACGAGCGTGTTCGACGTCTTGTTTACGGCACAGAAAAAGGAACTGGACCGTTCAGCGCCATCATTTCACGCAACAAGCTCCGATGGCTCGGCCACGTGTTGCGCATGCCAGCCCACCGACTCCCTCGACGTGCGTTGTTTGCTCGCCAGGGATGTGGATGGAAGAAGTGGAGGAGTGGCCAAGCGATGACTTGGTCAAGAGGAATGGAGGCTGTCACTTCGGAGCTGGTCTCGGTTGGAGCGTCTCGGCTGCCTGGTTGGGGTCCGGTAGACGATGAAGAAGTTTTGCTGGATACACTTGTTGATATGGCAAGGAGCCGACCTCAGTGGCGTTCGTACTGTGAGTTCCTTTGTCCCTCCCCATCCCTTTTATCCTCCCCCTCCACCTACGATCTCATTTTGTAGCGTAAGACATAATAATTTTTCAATGAATCACGGGCATTGCTGGTCTTCAGCAAAGCAAAGATTCCCATTCCATTAATATGAATCAATATCAGAAATCAGTTCCGGGTGAAGAATTCTTTTCGGTAACTCTCATCGGACCCAAACGTTTACAAAACACTGATACTATGGGGTAAGCGTCAACTCGGGCTGGGATTTACTTCTGGACTGTTTGAAAGATCAAAATCGATAACTTGAGACATAGATATCGATGATAAACCAAGTAAACTAAATACACATACATACGCAAAGGTCAGTAGTCTAAAGTAATTAAGTAGGTAAAAGCACAGCCAAATATCTAAGTAACAGTGTCCGTTGGCCAAGGTAGTAGTACCGGCCGTATGAATCGTTTTTGTATACATAATTCCGGCTTCAGATGGTGAATGTAGATTGCCTCGGCGATGGATAAGAGCTGTTTTCGGAATCCTTGGGTGTAGTGTTCAGGTAGTGAATAAATGACTTTGAAGTCATTCTCTGAAGCTGTGTAGCCACATTCAAGGAGGTGCGACATGATTGAGCTGTCTGAAGACCTCATTTCGCCTTTGTAAAACCATGCCGGGATGTATTCACCAATCCTCTGAGATAGACGTCTTGTCGTGCGACCCACATATCGTGCACCACAGGAGCACGAGTGCTGATAAACGATCATTGAACGGGTCAACGACGGTAGTCTATCCTTCAATGGTTTCGTAAGCAACGGCTTGTTGTGAATAACGATTCTCAGCCGGGCCGCGAAATAAGTTTTCTCGACAGCATCTTTCAGGCGTCTGGATAACATATCAGCTGCAGAATCGCCCTTAAAGGGTATATGTATGAAAAGCTCTTTTCTTAGGAGCAATGCTCCTAGGTGGCTTTCGATTACGTTCCTTCAAATGTTTCATGATAAATTTATCATTTTTCTTTTTGCCTGGTAGCCGGCTGGTAGCTTACCGGAACGATGCCTATCCGTTGCTGGTAGCTCAACTGGAATGCAACTTTTGTATTTATTTTCCTTTTTCATTTATGTATTGCGGCACAGTAGCTGAGGCGTTTCCCACCTCTAGCTGACGTGTATAATGAATGAATGATTGACTTATTGGGCTACTATCCCGTACCTTTGGCCAAATGGCCTCACCCACCAAGCAGTGGGGCGATATGAGGATCTCGCACCCGTTAGGAGCCGACGACTGCTCGCTCGGTTCATACGACTTTCGGGTGGCTAAAAGCCATACCAGAGGCCTGCCACGTGACAGCGCTTTCATGCGGCCTATGTGGCCTTTAATAGTGAGAACGCTTGCCAGATCATAACCCACCACATCATCCAGCACCGCCGCTGAGTTGTTCAGGACCGCTTATTCATCTCGGTGTGAAGCTTGTGAGATTTATACACAGTTACTTCCACAAGGAAGCATCCCCCAATCCGCTTCCTGTGGACACGCCCGATAGCCTACAGCTAGACTAAGGCTGAACAGTCGCTGAGTCCTCTTTTACGTTCCCACGTGATATCGTGAAAACATGCATAATTAACAGTATATGGGGACTCAAAACTGTGGGATCAATGGGAAATCGTTCTCGGAATCTAACATTTAAAAAATGCACATCCAGTAATCGTCTATGTTGCTCCGGCAAAACTGTTCCAAACGCTGACAACTCTTCGTTTAACGCACATGGGTCATGAGTGCTCAGAATCCACTTTTTATACCTATTTCCTAATACTGCTAGCTCAAGTCGTCTCGGTGCCGTGAGTATAATACTACTCCCTACTAATTTGGAAGGTATGCTTACCTCCGCCTTTACTGCGTTTTGGACTTTGTCAAATTTTCACATGCCAATCTTCTATTTTTGAAATTTGAGACTATTCTACGGGGCTAGTTTTTTTCGTTTCTATCTGTCTTCGACTCTGCCCTTAATATTACTTCCCTCTTAATTTGCACACAGCTCTCAATCCCATTAGCTTCAAAATCTGATATTGAACCCACTTTGTCAACGGACTCCGATAGGGAACCATCCATCTTGTCATGCTCAGACGCGGACACCTTCGAGTTGGCTGTGGAGGCGACAACAATGGCTGACGACTCACCCGTGCCCGTGTCGTCTAGCTCAGGGCATTCGTTGCTGTCATTTGAGTCACCGAACTCCGATCATCCCCATCCAGCTACTTCGAAATTGTCTAATTCTCATGAAGATTCAGAAACCACGCCTGTCTCCACAATGGCTACCGTTTTAGACATCGATTTTCGCACGGCAGTGGAGCCGGTGAACCAACCGTGAGTATAATCCAAATCCGTCCCTAATATTGTCTCAAACTTGCTCTGTTTCTTTGGTTCCACTAATGTGTCTCTCCCTCTATTCTAGCCCGTTTGCGTCTATTGGCTCTACAGGCGAGTGCGATAACGGCGACCCATCCAAACCCCCTGTTCCTCCCGCACGCCCTCCACCATTCCAACCACGTTCCGTGGCCACTCCGGTCGCAGCGGCTGACATCCATGCACTTTTGGATTCATACCCATCCCCCATTAGAGATGCGGATATTCCGAACAGCCGACTGACAAAACCTTCCTCTCTCCCAGTGATCACTTGCGCTTCTCCTGCTCGCAACGATGATGTTCTTACGTCCCATCTGGATATCGTTCCTAGCCAAAAGCCTTTCACCGAAGAGGTTGGAGGAGTAAGTTCATCTTCGACTGGCGTAGCTTGTAACTGAATGACTGTGGTGTTCACACCATTCTTACATTCCCGAAACCTCTCAGTCCGGGTCGATCGAAGGCACGGGTTTATTGTTTGGCCTATCGTACGTTCTAGCTGTACTCTACGCGCGAACTACACGCACTACTTCGGAACGTTTGAGACACAACCATATTACATCGTTCAGAAATGACTCATTCATAACAAATTGATGCTGCTTTACCTTCACACTCTTGATATACTTCTGTCGGCGTGCATTATAGAGGCTGCGGAGACGGTGCACGTCGACGAAAGCGGGTGACCGTCATTGGAAGCCATCTTTTTTTGTCTCAACATGCACAACACATGGATCCGTTTCCGTGGCGTGTTACCGACTGTCACCTTCATGGAATGGATTCCTTGGTACGACTAAGATCCACTGAATTTCGATTTTAATGCTAGTGTCTCCTAAGGGCTTTAGCCTAATGGCAGGATCTGTTTCTCGCGGCATATGTTGTTTGCACTGTGTTCGACCTGGAACCGTTTTCTTTCCCAGCGACAAGTTGAAACTCGGTAGCCCTTCAGTCCAATCGCAGCTGGAAGGCAGTTCAATAGAGTTGTATCGTTTCGGTATTGATCCACCCAACCCTGACACTCCATCGTTTCGCTTTACAGGGACGTGTCCGATACTGAAAGTGACCACCGCATTACTATCGTGTTTCTTGTGAAGCAATAAACAGAGACAGCCCCTTTCAAGAGATTTATCAAACATTATCTGGGTCGTGTTGCGATAAATGTTTGTCACACCGACCTATTTTTGAACGGCACTTGTTAAGGACGACGGCCATCTAGATTGATCACGCGCGTCAGGAATTGATGGAAGTCTTACCAAAATCCGAAGTGCGATACGAAAGCTTGCAGTTTAGGCTTCTGTGTTATGATCGAAATTCTGGATATGAAAATGTTTTAACGAAGGAGAGATTTGTGAAAATCGGGCCTGAAAGGTTTACACTTTACAACGGATTTGTTGGTGTACATTTCTTTACTTCGTTTTGTTACAGTCAATGGGACTTGGATATTGCGTTGCAGAAATCAAGCACTACTCAATGCATTGCAGTCTACGAAGTTTCCACAGTAGAGAAATCACGCATGAGTTGTTTGATCTTTAAGGCACTGCCTATTATTTTCCTCCACATTCACGGTATTCTTTTGACATAATGCATACCAAGTATACCAACAGTTAACCGATATTATTACGAATAAGTATTGAACAAAATGTCACGTGGACCTTTGTTAGAATCGGCATGAGTTGGGAAGCAAAGTGTAGATCTTGTGTCAGAACAATTCACCTGGTCACAATTGTTAAACATTCATGTTCACTTGTCTTAGCATAGTGCTGCTTTTCTTACTCCAGGAAGTTCCTTTGGCTCTAGAACGGACGGTGTACACGAAGAGAACGGCGTTCCTGCATAGCGACATGGAATGTTTGTGAATGAATGAATTTAGTGTTGGGGTGTTACATGGAAGATGACCAGCAGGAATTGACTTGACGTGACAACACTCTTAGACTTCAGTCTGCCCCGACGCATACCAATTTAGTCATGAATACAACTATTGCCCTCACACTCAGACAATTCCAGAAGTGTGTCCGGTAGGTTGTTGTTTAACAGTACAAATGTCTGATATTTCTTAGCATCCTCGTACATGGAAATGTTGCATAGCAGCTTGATTCCGCAGCTGCAGTCGGAAGGGTTGATAAACAACGTTTGGTGGCAGCACGATGGCGCACCTGCACATTCGGCGCAATCGGTTCGTGCCTACCTGAACGAGACATTCGGTGGGCGTTGGATCGGTCGCGGAGGACCGATAGAATGGCCTGCGCGATCACTGGATTTGGATCCCATGGATTTGTTCCTATGGGGATACTTGAAGCACAGAGTTTCTAGAACGAAACCCAACAACCTGAATGAACTAAAAGAGAACATTGTGAACGAATGTAGGCAGATTTCTTTCGAGACATTGCAGAAAGTGCTCGCCAGTACCATCCGGCGAATGCTCCTCTGAGGGCAATAGTTGTATTCATGACTAAATTGATATGCTGTCTAATGGTGCAACCATTGCGTCGGGGCAGACTAAAATCTAGGAGTGTTGTCATGTCAAGTCAAGTCAAGGATTCGTTCTTATGCACCCATGAAAGATGAATTTTCAGCTGTAACACACACGCGATCAAAACGGTAAAGCGAACAACCTTACAATCTGCTCCTGGCAGTATGCTTCCCTTTAGCAGCGAAAGCAGCCTAATAAAAGCTTACTGGTTTGTTGGAAGCCAGTCATGAGGCCATAACAGCTTTTGTGGCGATAGCAATACGGCGCCCATCGACCGGTCATCACATACGGCCAGGCTGTTTTCCTCCGTTGCTAGCACAGCGACCCACTAATCACTTCGCAGGAAACCCTTTTGCTGGCTTTTCACCTGCGTGAAGGCTGACTACCGATCGATCGAAGCATGACACTTTCAGTGCGGCTGTGGTGTCAGGCTCACGCCCAGTTCTTAGCCGAACGGCTAGCGGTGCCTTGGTCTTGGTCGAGACATGACGCATTCATTGCGGCTGTGGTGTTTGCTAACGTTCAGTTCTCACAGCCGCACCGCTCGGTGTGCTCTGTGATCGTAAGCACACATGTCTCATCTCTGTGTCCCATCTCACACCTGCCGGCAAAGCAATTTGCGCCATTGGACAGTTAGCAATTCAGCGTACCGGTGTACGTCAGCACTTGAATGCAGCCGCTCCCAGCTCCGGAACAGATTAATAAAAACGCCCTGTAGATGCTCCTCTGTGCCACAATGACCTACATGCATTTTGTGACAAACTGACATGTACTGGGTCTGTTTGGTAGTCACTTACCCTTGTCATACTTGGCATGTCAAGAGCTGCTTGGAACCTGGTCCTTTTGTAGTGAGACCACTTTCTAAGCGCAGCGCTATCTCACTCTTCTGGAACCATTAACAAGATGCCTGTATCTGTCCGTCAAGGGGACACCTTATCGGGAACTGTGCCAGACATATCACACGGTGCTGAATGTCAGGTGTGCGATAGCACGCATTCGCCCACTTAATTGTAACCTAGCTGCAGTGATGCAGTACGGCATGCTCACGTCAGCCTTCGCAGCTGGACGTGCTACACTCCCGACGATCACTGCCTTATCATTCACTGCTGTGGTGCCGCTGAGTGTTCGGCTCACGTGCTGTTACCGTACAGCTGACCGTTGCCAGAAATGTGTTGTGGTTTCCACTGACTTTACGGATAACCTGCCTGAATCTGCTGTGCCGCCCCCAACCAGTTCAACCCGCCACGAAATGAGAACACCAAGACCAGCCGGTCCGAGGGATTCGGATTCGGATTCTATTGTATGAAAGCATGGCGCAATAAATAGGTTGTAGGAAACCACTAACAACAAAATTGGAGATGCTAATTAGTATTAATAAACACAACTCAAACGGTTCAAGTTCATGGTCCGACTTGCCGTTGACTTCTCATAGATTCGCATTTTGATCTATATTCGCGTTCGATCTCTAATTGTGGATCGATCCACTGTTGTAACACTGCTCTCGGCCTGAACGCTGACTCTCCGTAACACCTCCCTCTCGCAAAATGACGCGCGACCTCCGTCATGAGTCCAGGCGCATTCTGCTAACGTGTCTCCACACCCGATCAGTGCATCATCATGGCTGCAAGTCCGTTCCCTTTTGTGGCCAATGGCCAAAGCACATTAGCTCCCTCCTGGGTCCCAAAGTGAGTGGTTCACCGGGTGGAGAACAGTTCTCTCTAAGCGAGTAAGCTCCTGATCAACCATTGGTGTTGCAAGGCCTTTCCGAAAAACTGCTGTATACCTCTCTCGCAGGTGTTCAATGACCACTGTTTTGGGGGCTGTTGGTTTGTGTATCTGGGCCGTTGCACAGAGTTGCAAACCCTTACATTTCGGTTCGCCTTAACATTCACTGTCTTCTGAACGGATGATAAGTAATGGGCGTAGCGAATTAGAAATCTTGAAGGTCGCACTACTGCCCGATTTCTCATTTCGAGCGTTTGTGTCGACTAACCTGGCACCCGTGGCACGTAGACAGCCCAAACTCACATTTCGTCCACTGTCTAGGTCTAAATAAAAATTATTTTAGTTATGTTTCGCTGTATCTTAACTGCGAGTACATTCCTTGAATAGGTACGTTCATGTGACATCAAAGCAATATTCCTTCACTTGTTGCGCACACGAACTAGCCTGTTTGTCCTTGGAACGTCCTCGCTGCACCACAAAACGAGACTTCTGGCTTCCTACTAATTTCACCGGAGAACGTTTAGCACCCAGTGGGCTTATATAGCACTGAGTACTTCCTGTTTGAGTAAACTAGGTGATTGCTTGCAACCTTCCTCGCATTTTCTAACCTTGATGTCCAGCTGAATGTCTTGTGTTTCACCGTCTTCCTCCCTGTGGAGACGGCACCAAATCTTTACAGCAGCCGAATATTGCTCCTACTTAGATGGGAATGGATTTGCTTCTCAAGGCGTTTATCGAAACTAACGGATAGTTAAATATCTCAGTAGGCCACCGACTCAAATAGTAGTCTACTCGCACTGAGACGTGTTCAGTGCCTCACATGAAACCGTATTTCAACTTTGCATTATGCTGCTCTGCAACCTTTATCATCTGATCCAACTTGGTTACTGAGATGAGGCGGAGTATATGAGCATACCAGTTAATCCCATCGTATTTATACGGTAGCAGGGGCCCAGTTACTTGCAGTAACTTTAGGCTATCAATTGACTGCCTCCTCCATCCTTCCAATCATCCTTATCAACTATGTCTGTATTACCATCTTTTCATCTGACAAATTCACCGAGTTAAACTTCTGGTCGAACTTGCTTTCTGTGTAGGTTTAATCAATATTCTGTCATGATCACATTAGGGGTTGGATACCTTATCCCAAACTTTACGCAGTCGCCGCAGAGACATTGGTGCTTTGGTTCCGACCTATTATACACAGCCGTTAGCCTTCCAGGCTCAACTAAATCTTCATTTTGCCGACTTCCCTTTCGTTGCTGACACCCTACACCATGCCACTTTTCTTATTTTCCTACTCGGTCAGCCGCTTCTGGTGAGTGCTTTAAGTGACCTGCCCATTTCGTCCATTCGTGCGGAGGAGGCAAGTAGCTCAATTCCTCTCACCGTATTGAGGGAAGACGCTACGGAAAGAGATTCAAACTTATCATTGGGGTTACCTACGGAGTTTGACAAGGTTAAAAGTGATCTCGCGTCAGGAGATGATCGAAAGCGACCCTTTGCTTCATCCAAACGCATTCACAGTCGCCGGATTGCCCAACGCCGTCGGTAAGTCAGCACTCCATGTAGTTACTCGGTTCACAACCACACTCCATCCCTTCGTACTCATTCCCATGTTTCACATGCCATTGTTGACCGGTGGCCTAAAGGATTACGTCTTGTGATCTGATGGTCACCGGTTCGAATCCGCGTTAGTGTCGCCGAGCTCTCGATATACCCAGCCCTCGCATGTCAACAGTGTCGGTACGGTGTATCGGCTTATTTCTGATAGCCTTCTTTCTTTGTTTCGTAAGCCATTCTATGATGAATGGGACATTCTGCCCCATGGGTTCCATTGTTCAAGCTGGTCGTCACTTTGCCACTCGTCTTTCATATCAGTCCACCTCCGATAACCTGATTCAACCATCCTTGGAATAATTACATGCTGATTCTATCCCCTTTGTCTGCTACCTTCTTGACCCTAGTCGGATCCGGTAACCTTACCTCCTGATTTAGGTGTCTCCCATACTCCTGCAGCAGCCGCTGCCTAATGTGCACACCTGCGCCTGGAGCCATTTGCTAACATCGTAGCGGTCCACTCTCAGTGAATTGTCCTCTCTGTTACGCTAGTTCCTCTGCTGGTTTCGACAAATCACAACTTTCACTGCTGGAAACGAGAATGTCGTCTTCTTTTCTACCCAGTTTGTCCACTTGTCTCAGTGTTTATGTATTTGTTTCACCTTTACCTTTTTGCACAGCATCTTTGCGTGCATGCGCTTTGCTAATTGTGCTTTCTTACATTACAGCTCAAAGCTGTGCAACATCTTTTTGTTGGCATCTGTTGGACTACTTGTCGGATGCGTATATTGGTTCACTGCCTTCTTCTGGGGTCTTTCAGTTGGTGTTCTGGGCACCTTACTCGTTGTTCTTATTCGCGACGCTCTTTGGACCACAGATAACAGTGATGGTGCTCGATGTCATATTTCTGGCTCGCCTCTCGGCCGTTTATGCTGCTCTCTACATTGTCCCATCAACCCGACGGCCACAGGAGCGGGGTCCGGTACTTGGTGGCCTATTTTCGCTCCTGCGCTACCCCCCCTGAGGAATGGACCGCTTCAATTCAGGGAACTGCCATCGTTACCGGTCCCCCACATGAATGATGAGGATCTTTATTCTTCGACGATCGGTCCTCTGGGTCCCAATCTGGGTCTGAAGCTCGACTCTGGCGATCGACCAATCTACAAAGGTTGGATGAATGAGGTAACTCGGGTTTTACGTGCTGCCTGTTCATACTTTCAATTCATCACACTGACACTTTACATCCTCAAATGCATGCCACATGCACTTGCGCTTAATGAACTTGCTTACTGTTGCATTCAATCGGCGAGAAAGCTAAACTGGTGTTTGCTTCCTTAGCACCGGTTTGCACGCATTTGGGATCCAAGTTGCTCTCATCCAAGCATAGACTAGCGTAGCTCGGACACTTCGCTCTTCATGGGGTACTCAGGTTTATCCGAAGCAACACTTGGGCTGGTGATGCAAAGTATATATTTGTCTTGGATCTGCGTACTGCGTTTATTCTTGAGCAATACACAACCTTGGTAACATGGATTGCATTCCGGAAGCGAGAAATATCCAACGACCGTTTGTGTCAACTGTTCGCTTGACATTTATTTGTTTCACCTACGATACTAATGACGGATCTGATCGCGGTTCATCATCATCATTCTTATGCACGTTAGCTAGAGGTTGTGGCATCTCGATCATTGTGCCGTAATACACAAACAGAAAAATTTACGAGGCGACGCAACACAGGCGCGTCAGTTGAGCCACCAGTAATGGATGGACATGATTCCGGAGAGCTAACAGCCAACTGTTTGTTGTAATAAAAAGTTATATTATGCTCCACGAATAAGCTAGTGGTTGAAGGTGGAGGCTCAGCGAGAGGGCGAGCGACAAAAACTCACAATACAAACGCCACGGAGGTCGGCTCTTAGCCATGTCACGAAATATATTCGCCCGTCTGTTCATCGTCTTTCCGGCCCTAACCAGGGAGCCGAGAAGCTCAGACCGGGACCAACATCAATGTAAGGGCCCTCATTCCTTTTCATCATGTCGATAATTGGCCTCCCTTTTTTGCCATCCACACCGCGGCACGTAAACAACCCACGTCGCGGGAGTCGCTTTACTGGCATACGCAACACGTAGCCCACCCATGGGAGCATGGTCTACTTCGAAGCGAATTGCGATTCACGAGTACTCCACTCAAGACGATCAACTATAAGTCATTATCCTCTGATTGAGGTTCCCCGCAAAATTCGGGTTGGCATCCTGACATCAGCAGTACCCCAGCACACCGTACTGACCCTTTTACGCACCACCACCAGTTGCGCTTAGGCTGGATATGCCCCGAGGTCGCCCGCGCTTAAACGAATTCGAATCGGTGTTCCCGGGATTACGAGACAAGCGCGTAATCTTTTCGGTCATCGACCCACACTTCTTACGACCGCCGGCTACCTCTACCGGGCATCATCATCAACAGCATTACATCAGCCGTTTGGACTGATGCTTCGCTGCCTTACGGTTACCTACGGAACGAAGGATGATAACAGGAAAAAAAGATTGACCTAGTAACATAAACTTAAAGTCCTAAGTAAACATTCAGAGTCAATGCGCCTACACTTGGTGTCAACAACGTACCGTCACAAACAGCTGACTATCATGCAAAGAGAAGGTGGCATCGGCGAGACAGCTTCCTTGCGGCTTTCACTGCCACGCGTCATAATCAGCCATTACCCCGCAGATAACTCAGCACCAAACACATTTTAATCAAGCAGTCTGACTAGGAGACGGCAGCATACGCGCCACTGGTGTCGACTGCGAGCCATGTCCTGTAAAGTCTCGAGCCAAGCACAAGTTGGGTCACGTGGACTCCAGTCCGGGAAGCGAGATGGACCGACGGCATCCAGTTTGGTCGTCAGTGGCTTTATTTCCCGTTGCCAAATCAACTTTTCTCCATCTTGAGCCTTGCGCCACCCTACACCTGGCAGACTAAACAAGGCCCACCTAGGTCAGTGGTGACCATGCATACGTAGCACGTGCCAGAGCCCACGCAAGTTATTAAGTGCTGTTTGGTGTTCTAAGGAGCTAGCATGATTATTACTGCCTAGTACTCGCCGACGCACATCGTTACGGACACAAGCAGTACTTCACGGATAACGAAGAGCAAAGACTTAAAGGCACGTCAGGCCGAAGGGGAGAACTTTCACTTTCTTAGGGCAGAACGACCCTCACTGTGGCCTTGTATGCACGGCCTTTTAGACCGAGGGAAACCCCTTTTTGACGCCACAAATGTCGCAGCTTCATGAAGGCAGTTCTGGCTTTTGTGCCATGAATTGACTTCAGTAGTTATGCGCACATCGTTGCTGACGCAGCAGCCAAGGTAAGTGCATTGATCAACTGCCTCGAGATCCTCGCTACTAATGGTTAGGCATTACCAAGTGGCTGGTCGTCCTGCAACAGCACTTTGCACTTTGAAGGTGCGAAGTGCATGCCAAGTGATGCGACTCCTCTTGAGATGTTATACAAGACCGACTGGGCCGCCCCAACATCGTTAAAATGCAAGACTATCACTCGCGCAATCGAAATCAACTAGCTTTTCACTAGGCAGCATTTCATCGTGCGATTCCGCAAAATAGCCCACGACGACGTTGAACAAAAAACGAGGAAATTGGGCAACCCTAACGAACGGAAAACTATGCGGCATATGTTTACATATTTCATAGGAACAGCATTCCGTGCAAGTTTTTCGAACAAAGTGTATCAATCGACTGAGTCGAACGCATTCTTTAACTCGAGGAACACAGCCATTGTAGCCCTACGGTACGTGTGCCGCTGTTCTGGTACCGATCGCAGAGTGAACACGTGTGCTATGCAGCCGCGTCCTGGGCGGAAACTTGCTTGCTCTTCTCAGATCTGAAATTCCCGTTCTGCAGTGAGGCGACGAACGAGAATTAAGGCCAGTAATTTTGTCGCATGTGTAGTTAGGCTAATGCCAACGCGGTTAGCACAATCGTTACAACTGCCCTTCTTGTATGCTGTCACTGTCACCGATTCACTCTAGTTATCGGATGATATCTTCCTTCTGGACCTGTTCTACCAGAGCGGTCAGTGCTTTGCAGAGGACCTCACCATCTTCATTAAATATTGCGAGTGCGAAAGAATCTGTGCCAGCACCTTGAAAACCATTGAGGGCTGTGATTGCGTTTCGGACCTCAGCCTCCGACGGCGCCTCTAGACTAACCGGTCATGGCTTAGCCTGCGCAATCCGGATTGGATGATGTCTAGGAGCAGGAGGCTAACATAGCTGCTCTCAAAAGTGACTCACCCAAAGAACAATACGGCGCACCTTATTGTTATACAGGGCACTCGCGCTGTCTCTGATTGTCTCACTGTCACCAGTTATTCTGGGACCGGTGGTGCAATTCATTTGGAAGAGATTACGATGCTTGCCTACTGCTTCTGCTTCCTCTATTTTGAGCTCGGCTGGTCCACCAGACTTCCTTGTCAGCACGCACGCTCCGCTTTATTTCGTATCTTATGGTCCGTGTGGTCACATTGCGCTCAGGGCCGACCGGGACTTTTCTTTTGGATTCCCACAGGTTCACCAACCTCTCGGATATCCAGTGATTGGTGCGGTGACGATTGATAGTGCAGCAAGCAAAGGTTCTAGCGTAGTGCATCAGATGTATGTTGGTGCACTTTACTGCTACCGCACTATCACGCGTGCGCCATTGGTGGCACGTGGGCTAGAAATATCGCGATATCGACGCGTCTTCGCAGATTCGAACCCTTGACCCACAGATTGCAAGGCAGATGCGTCATACCACTCGGCCACTCGCCGACAACCTATCGTAACCTTGAGGATTGATGGCACAAGTCATTCGGTTGCTTCGTCGTCTGTTTGACAGTACACGTGGTTTTATGCTTCTCATCTACTTTGATTCACTTCGACTGCCCAAATTAGCAATCGGTAACATCATCCAACAATATTTTTGCCCTTCTCCCTTCCCCTGCCAGCGACTATCTGTTGTGCAATTTTTCAGCCATCTCCGAGTAAATCTACCTGTGATCCCCCATCTCTGCGTTTCTTCCTTTGTCTAGATTATGAAATACGATGCGGAAACGCATCACGTGAGTCAGACCCATTCCGTGTTCATCACCCTGGACGGTATGCAGTTGCGGCTGCAACGTCCACGACGCAACATCGCTCGGCGCTCCATGTGGAATGAAGAGATACCTCCCATTGGCTCGCTCCGATTTCACCAACAACGTATCTACGATTTGACACACGCTCGGGTGGTACTTTTACCGAATGGTCTCGTGATGAAACGCTTGTGGAGCAAAAAGTACCCGATCGCCATCACCTTGTCGCCTCAAGCGGCGAAACAAGTAAGCACATGTGTGTCACATATGATCTACTGACTGTGTGGTTGCGTGTCAGAAAATCACCCCTAGCTAGTTTCGTCGGTTTGACTGTGTGTTATGTGTGCCTTCTCATATTTACCCCGATAGGGCTTTGTTTTTTTTCGTTGGATCCCGGATGACATAGGACTTGCGGAGTGCGTTAGTTGATTTGGTGACGAAGACTGGTTTTAGACGACTGCAGTTGGTGTTCTTGGCCCGTTTCATCTTTCAAGCTGAGGTCCACGCGACCCACCCTGCGCTTGACGTTTTTACTGGATTTAACTCGCGGCTGCCATCATTGGCGCACTGTTATTCATCTGGTCGAACCCTCTGTTCCACGTGTTTCGGATGCTGGGTCTTTTACCGAGTGAGGTTGCTTGTGGTGCATGACTATGACAGCCGGGGGGGGGACAGTTTCCCCCATTTCGCCCTATCTTTACGTGACAACTAACTGTTTGTGATGATGGGCGGCTGATCAAGTTTACACGCCTTTATCCTGAACAGTTCTTTGGAACAATTTTATAGGAAATTATACCTACCATTTCCTATTTTATCCTTCCTTGTTGCCAATATTATTTGGTTCCATCGCGCCGGAACACGCGCACTCTGTGTTTATGTTCCTAATGATGCTGACACTCGGAGCAACATGTGTTCGCAACACTTAGTCTTCTTGCTTGCTTGCCGAACAACCTCCTCGTGGTGCCAGCTGGGTGGTTCGGGTGTATCCTATTCCTGCCACTAGTTCGGCGGCGGTGTTCAAGGACGTAGTGGGTTTTCTCCTGCTAACCGTTCTCCCTATAAAAAGTCACAAGTGTCTGTCCAACAACACTGTGAAGTGCCGGATGTGACTGGCCACTAAATAAATTCACGAACCCTTGCTTCACTCTGATGCAGCATGGTAAATCCAGCAACTTGATGCTGAAACTGTGAGGAGAATTGAGCCCCTGTTTAGTAAGCGTCCAAACGAAGGGCCTATAAACTGAGTACTCGGTCACGGACTCCCAGTGGGCGCGATTCCCTGAATTCTCTCCGCTGCCTTGTGAGTAGGCTATTCAGCTTAAGTCTCGGGGCTAGTGTCCCCTAAGACAACTCCCCACTTCGGCTTGGGCAGCCGGGTAGTATATCCCTCGCTGGCAAAACCATGGATGCCGTAATTACTACTACTATGTCCTTTACTCCCGCTCTTGCCATCCTCACTACTTACGCATTTCTATCACACGCCATTCCTATCTTCATCAATAATTCCTTTAAGTCTACCTCTGATGACAGTCTCGCTTATGTTCTAAGAGTCCCACCAATAGCCCTCCTTCGGCCCCGTTCTCTGTTTCCGCTGGAAGCTTTCCACGTTAGAAACCTTATGCAGATATGATAACAATCCGACTTAGTGCGCATCTTGGAGTCCCTCGCTATTGATATCTATTGTCTTTCTGTGACTCGGTTACAGGATTCCAGCATTGTAATTAAGTTGACTTCCCCCGCTTATCTCAGAACCAAATATTCCGTACATTTTTCTGGTGACACAGAAGCTGCTGCTACTGGTTTGACTGGTGTTGCCATTACATTGACTGACAAAGCTAAGGCCTCGCTGCTGCTTTGGTTTTCGATCGACAACCGCTTATGCATCATCAGTAGACATTGTACAGAGAGACGCAGTTTATTTGTGATCTCGGCTTACCCTCCAACCGACTGCTTTTAAGGACGAGTTTTATCTCAGAATCCACCAGATTTTAAGTGAAGCTAGACGAAAATCCACCGCGTCCGCCGAACTATTTGCCGGAATAGGGTAAACCCCCAACCACCCAGCTGACACCACGAGAAGGTTGTTAGGCTAGCCAACTGGCTCGTTTTCCCGAGCACAAACTTCAAGTATTCGAGACATGCGCCACCACTCGGCACCTTCCTTCGCCAACGTAAGCGTGGTCACAAATTGATCACATAGCGTTCCGTTTCAGATGGCGTGGTAGTGTACTGGATTGCAAACCGACTTGGTCTACCTACTTCGACTTAGATCACGCTCTGATCTGTGCGAATATCTGGATCCACTTCGGTGGTTTCTCGAAACTTAAGCACCGTACGCTGGATACCAACAGGATAGATAACGCCTCCATTAAATTGTTTTACCAATCCTCGTCAAATACTCTCGATAGTGTCCTATGACCGACTAGATCTCTGCACGCTCGTTGGAATTGCTTGACTATCGTGAGCTATTTCAGCTGATTCAAGTTGCGATGAAGTTCGCCACATCCTCGACGAACAACTCAAGCAAACCATACGTAACGGTCGCGAAATTTAATGGTCTCAGCGCGCTTCGGAGATGTAGACATCAGCTGTCTCTGGAAATTATCACGAGCTGTTCCAGTTCATTCGGACCAATTGCCACAAAACACTTGGTGTCAATGAAGCTATGAGCAAGGCTAATGGATCATCAAACACAAATTTGCTTAGGCGCATAGACCGCTTGACTGAGAACTTTCACGTTTAGTTCAGGTGAGGCATCACATATATATATATATATATATATATATATATATATATATATGGCTGCACGCCTGTGTGGTGATGTGGACTGTATAGCCACAGTGGGCGACCTGTGGCACCACATTCGCGACCAGGTGACAGCTGCTGCGGAGGAGACCATCGGGCGCGCAAACTGTAAGCGGCCTGATTGGTTTGATGACAACAATGTGACGATTGACGCATTGGTGTCAGAGAAGAATGCAGCATTTGCTGCACATGTTGCAGACCCCAGTGACTTGGGGAAGAGTAGTCAGTTTCGCAAACTTCGACGGCGACGGACCCGAGAGCTCCGTCGCATTAAAAATGCATGGTGGACGGAGAAGGCGAAGCAGATGGAATGCTACGCCGAACGCCGTCAACACAAGGAATTCTTTGACTCCTTGAAGGCGGTGTATGGACCGAGATTGGAGTCGCTGAGGACACTGATCGATGGTAGTTCAGGCGCTACCTGCACCCAGACTGCAGACATAATGCAGGTCTGGCGGAAACACTTTGACTGTCTCTTGAACAACCGTTCAGAGATCGACTGGCCTACATTGAATGACCTGAAACGGCACGATGTGAAGGCGGATCTGGCGGATACGCCGAGACTGGATGAGACGCAGAGAGCACTTGCTCAGCTGCGAAACGGCAAATGTGCCGGAGGTGACGGGATCCCACCTGAAGTATTGAAACACGGTGGACCCGCGTTGTTGACTGCGCTGCACCACTTGGTGCAACGCGTGTGGATTGAGGAGGAGGTGCCTCCTGATCTGAAGGATGCCCTTGTGCTGCCACTGTACAAGGGCAAAGGTAGCAAGCAAAGTTGCTCGAATTATCGTGGCATCAACTTGCTGAGTTGTGTGGGCAAGGTGATTGCCCGAATCCTGCTCAATCGCCTCGTGAGTCACTCACAGTCTGTGTGT